CAGACAGCTGATTTTTGTTTTGATGGGCTATAGTATATCAGTGCGGTCAAGTGCACTCAGGAAAGTTCTCGCTGAGTGGTGCAGGGAACAGCTGTGATTGGCACATGTAGACATGGTTATTAGGCAGTGATTTTAGGGAGCACTTGATTGCTTTGTGTTCTACTGGCAGAAAATGCATTTTCAATATCTTTCAATCATGTTCGTTTAATTTTGTGAAGCCAAAATCACAATACTAGCAGTATTAGTAAAAAAGTAGAGGTGCCATTACCAATTATTGATTTAATATTTGAATGTTAGCCTAAATAATACGTTCACAGTAACATGGGAATTTTGTCTCAAAATTGAGACTAACAGAAACTTTTCTTCTGAAAAACTGAAATGAGTTGTTGCCAAACGGTGTACCTACTGATGGGCTGTGAGGCAAGTCCAGACAGGGATACGTTTTTATTGCAAACTGTAAGCTATACACCTACACAAAAAGCTATGAATAGACTGTTTTACTGTAAGTATGGGTGCCCTAAAATAATAATTTAAAGAACTTCTGTCACAGAGAAAACCAGTGTATTTGTAGAGCATTACAGATTAAAGCAATGTGATTGACAGCAAAGAGGTTAACAAGAGGGGAAATGGATCAGTTTCATTTGTATAGCAAACCATACATACCCATCACACCACATGACTGACCACAGAAAAAAGGAGGGGAAAGGCTGTTAGTAGACAGTACTGCTAAAGCTACCTGTCTTATAACTTCCGTTGCACCTGAGTAAATCACCTGTCAGGAGAAGTTGACCACTGCTAATATAGTAAGCAGCAAGCTAAAGCAGAAGTAGGACTGGCCTTTTTCACCAGTGTACTGTAAGCCAGGTTTTAAATACAAAAGCTAAAATCATTAACCTAGCTAGTGCAACTTAATATTTTATTAGCCTGCTGATGTTATTCTATGCATAAGAAAACAGCTAAAAACACAGACAAAAAAATCAATGCTGTGACTTAAAAGTCATGATTATGGATTATTATGGAGGAACTGGTGGAACATCATGTGCAATAAATGCACCTTGAAATTTTGACGCCCACTGGTGTGACAGTAAAAAAGAAAATCCAAAACCACTAATTCAGATGTTATGCATAAAGATTTGACGATCGTGAACCCGTCATTTAAAACTAGGCTACTTCATTATTAATAGCTATACATAAAGTGCATTATGCTATAGCCTAAAGTAATTGCTATACCAATGATTTGCTAATTGGCTGTGTTTAGGTGGTTTTCTATGCTTTATTTAATGCTTTTATATGCTATAGTATGTGTCATTGTTATACTATTTGTATGCATTTATATGCTATTGTATGTTGTCCACTTTGTGCTCTGTAAATCTGTCATATTTATGTGATTTTCATCAAATTGATGCTGTTTTTGTTGGGGAGCAATTTTCAGCCGCAAATATATTCGATGCATCTAGAGTACAGAAATATATATGTAGAGTGCCCATGTTCATTATAATGAAGAACCCACTCCAACCCACTGCAGCCATGTCGCACAGATATGATATTAATTCTTTTTAGACAACAATAGAGCTCTTATTCACAGGGGAATAAGCTTGTTATGGCCACTGACTTTCTTCTTGCCTCCTTTTAAAAGAGATCTCTCTCTTATTATATTTCACGCCTGTCTGCTACGCCCCTCTCTGAGCGCCTGAATCACCCACACCTGAAATCCATCTGATCATCAGTGAAGGTGGATATCAAGCCACAGAACCAGCCTTCCTTGGCACTTGACCACTGAACCTCTTGTTCAAGTGGTGTTGTTTGGCACTGCTGGAATTGTTTTTGATAGTATCTTTGTGCGACCCTGCTCAGCTCACCCTTTGTCTTCCTTACTAGCTGTCAGAAGTGTTTTCCTCAATTAGACTTGATAAGGTTAAAGAAGCTTTGTGGGGGTTATCACTCCCACGGCCTACCTGTCCCCCAAAGCAGTCAACCTAGGAGAAACACTGAACACGTCTGTAATGTTCACTGGTGCTGCTCAACATTTTATCAGCAGCATTTCCTCGCTGAATCCCCCTGCAGGCACGGACTGCAAGGTTCCTCTTTTGGGTTAAGGTCTTTTTTTTTGTTGTCACTTGGTGTTCTCGGCACGTTAAGAATAAAATTGCTTGTTGAATACAAGTGATTTATCCCATCATTGAATGCATTTGGATGACTGTGTTTTAACTTGGCATCTAACTGATAAATAATATCTACTTATAGGGGACTCTCTACACGTATGTGGCTATGGAAGGGAAATTTAGTGTCAACACATGTGAGTAACGTGTCATTTATATTTTATCTTGTGAAAAGTAATCTTGCTTTTACATTATTTAACCAGTTGTGTTTGTGTGTGTGTGTGTGTGTGTGTGTGTGTGTGTGTGTGTGTGTGTATGGAGACTGCCTTTCCATAGCACTTAATTTCATGTCTGAATAAAGTATTTGACTGCAGACATCAATATTATTGTATGATATAAATATTTTTAAAGCCCAAGTGAAAGCCATTTCAAATCCGAAAGATATATTACGAAATACGTCCATGCAGCCTTTAAAAAATGTGTAGGGCAGACACAAGCACATTCTCCTTTCATGCACTAACATTATTATTGTTTTTCTATCCAAGCATATTAGGTCAAGCCTTTGAAAAAAATCATGTAACGCTTCACATGGAAATGTAGCCATGGTAGCTGGTTCTATAAATACAATTTACGGTCAGTCTCGAAAGGTTATCTCAAACACATTTCTGCCTTAGTTTAAACCTACTTTTCTTTAAAAGATCGGTAAAACCCGCTGATCCTTACATGCAAAGTTGCCCTTAAGATACTTTGGCTTAATATAATATTTATGCTATGTAAATTTCCAAGTTGAAGCTGATTTCAAAACTTGGGATGCAAAAATAAAAACCTTGGGGCTAGTTAACTAATTGACTTGCAACTGCACCTTTGTTACATATGAGATAAATGGATGTCAATAGGTCAGGATGGATTTGGCGGAAGCAAAAAAGATTCTCTGATTATCTATTCTCCGACCAAAGACAGCATATAACATGTGCATAACCACAGGTTTCATTAGTGTTGTCAGTTAAGTAAAACAGTTTTCTGTATTATCATTAAGTCAATGAACATTCAGATCTGCTGGCTAAATAGAACACGTCACATCATGAGTAACCAGCTTACTGATGATCAGACATTCTGAATCTGGTAGTGACAAATAACTGATAAATTCAGATGTTTACTTTCATGTGATATAATGTCATAAAAGACAGGCCTGTCTTATGTAGGGGAAACACCAAAAACACATGTAATCTAGATCTGACAAAATGTTCAAAGGAGCTGAAGCTGCATCTGTTGTTTATAGCTTTTTGCAGGAGTCTACTTGCAACCTCATAAGGTTAAAAAAAAAAACCCAACCCTCTGATCATCCAGTTGCAGAGAAGTGGACATAAAAATGGCTAGAGCTAGCCCCAAATTGGGTTTTTGAAGTACAGTACTTATTCCCAGTTACACTGTATGCGCACAAATAATGAGCCTTTTACCCTTTTTTTTTTTTTGCATGCCTGTCAACATTCGAACAAAAAGCAGTTACTGTCAGAAGATATGCATGTGCGTGCACAGCCGTCAAAGAATCAACTCAGTCTATTAGCA